AATTCTTCTGCTAGTTGGGGTTGAGTCCACTTTTGTATCCTTCCCTTCAAGGCTCAGGGGTCCAAGATTATCTTCTGTGTCTGTGTTAATTGGTTTCTCTTTTCTTTGTTGAAGAGGGTCTGTGCAGTCCTTCTGCCTAGTCTGCCACCTTGCCGGAACTCCACCCATTTTTGCACTTTTTAACCTTTTCCATCATCTTCACTATGAAAAAAAAAAGTTGTCAGCCTTTAACCTAGATATGTTTTCTCTCTACTTTCTTGAGGATAAAAGTCTAGAGGGTGAAATCTGATCAACGCCTTGAAAAATGGAGCAGAAGTGTGTATTTGGGCATCTTCAGAGCCCAGTAACTGAATAGAGATAGCACAATAGCCAGGTATGAATTAGAATAAGAGCAAGGACATTGGGCAGTCTAACTTGGGTTGGCAAGCAAAACCTGGAAGAAGTCTATATGAGTCCATAGGTCCTCTTAAAACCTGAAAGAGTGCAAGTCAGAGTAAGAAGAAAAATCATCCCCACAGATCAGAGATTTGAGGGACCTGAACTTTATAGCCAGTTGGTGGCTATCTCTGTAGCCATCTTCACCCACCCAAAGAAGCCCCTATAATGTCAAGTTTATTTCAACTCATAGCGACCCTATAGGACAGAGAAGAATTGCCCCCATAGGGTTTCCAAGGCTATCCTTATGGAAGTAGACTGCTACATTCTCATCCTGTGGAGCAGCTGGTGGGTTCATATTGCCCACCCTTTGGTTAGCAGCTGAGTGATTTAAGCAGTATGAAACCAGGACTCCTTCAAAGAGGTCCTAAAACTCAGTTCTGGAGGTTTGTTTCTGGAGAAAAAGAAACATCACTCTTTATGACTTAGTTTTCTTTCCTAAAACAGTTCCCATCAAAAGTCTAGAATCTGGGTCATGCAGTGCAGAAGGGGTATGACCTAATAGTCTTTATTCACCTGCCTGTGATCCCATTTCACAGGTAATACATTCAGACATTCTTTGCCTACATGGCCCACAATGAATGAGCCATCAGACTAAAACATAGATTTATCCATCTTGTCCCCAAAAAGAATTGTGGGCTCATGAGAATCATTGTCACCCAAATGCAGACATGGTGGGATATGCAAAATGAGCCTGACACATATAAAGGCAGAATGTCATGTGACATGTGACAGCTCTCTTAGAGGAAACTAAATCAAGAAAGGCACATAAGAGGTGATTAAGGAAGAGGAGATGGGATGAATCCTCACACAGCAGGAAAAGAAAAGTGTTTTCAATCCATCTTGAAAAATTTAACCAGGAAAACAAACTTGCCTGATTCGTAATTACCTATTTATTAGGGCAAATAATTATGAGGAAGAGTATTGTACTTGATGCCAGCAGCCCCTTGGCAGAGTATAAAAGGGGACATGGGTGAGGAGATATCCAGACTCAAGAACTTCACTCCTGGAAATACACTCAGAACCTCCACCCTCTGACACCATGGTCAACTCCTGTTGTGGCTCTGTCTGCTCCGACCAGGGTTGTGGTCAAGGCCTCTCCCAGGAGACCTGCTGCCAACCCAGCTGCTGCCAGCCCACCTGCTGCAGAACCACCTGCTGCCAACCCAGCTGCTGTCAGACCACCTGCTGCAGGCCAACCTGCTGCATTTCCAGCTGCTGCCGACCCTCCTGCTGTGGTTCTAGCAGCTGTGGCTCCAGCTGCTGCAGGCCAACCTGCTGCATCTCCAGCTGCTG